TTTATTTATTTATTTATTTATTTATTTATTTATTTATTTATTTATTTATTGTGATTTTCATACAGTATAGTTTGATGGCATTTAGATGCATTCCCCTCTTGGCACTTCCCCCACTGCCCCCAGCCAATTTAAGGAACTCTTTTTATATTATAATATGGCCTTTGAAATGTGATTTGTTCCCCAAATGTCCTTCAGTGTGGGTTCATCCTCTGGGCCCACCAAGAGTCCCTACTCTGCAAGACACTGCCTTTCTCCCTCCCAGCAGCCATCAGTTGCCAAAAGCTCCTTAGGGTGGGTTGGGATTTCTTACTCACTTCCCCATATCTATGCTGGGATTTTGTCTGGTTTGAAGTTGTGTAGGACTTGTGCATTCTGTCACCATTGCTGTGAGTTCATATGAGTAAATGACCAACTGTCTGGAAGATTCTTTGTGGACATCCACCCCCTCTGGCTTTTACAACCTTTCTACCTTTCCTCCTCTTCCGCAATGATCCCTGAGCCTCTTGAGGCAGAGGTTTGAAATAACTCCTATTCAGGAATAAGTATTATGAGGACTCTTCTTCTCTGCACAATGGCCACTTGTGGGTCTCTGTGTTAATCACCATCTGAGATATAAGGAAACTTCTCTGGTGAGAGTTAAGGGATGCATTCAGCCTAAGTGTAGAGGTTGCACTGAAAATGTGTCCTTTAGGATTAAGCATTTCACAGATATTTATTCTCTGCATTTGACCAGTTCTGGAATTCTGTAATAGTCTTATTTGTTGCAAAAGGAAATTTCTTTGATGAGGGGTGAAAGGAACACATGTCTATAAATATGAGGATGCAAATTTAGAATAAAGTAAGAAACTACATTGGTCTAGAGTTGTGCCAAAAGTAGGTTTTGCTGTACGACCTGACTTCTCCAGCCATGTGTATTTGGTGCAATACCACACAAGATCCCTCCCTTTGAGTGGGCCTTAATTTCAATTAGACAACTGTTGGTTCCCCCAAGAAAAAAGAACCATTACTGTACCAATAGTGATAATTTGCTGTGCCAGTTATTGTTTATTAGACTTCATAGCTGGATAGTACCATTGATTTGTTTTTTTCCCCTTGGCAGCTTATATAGTCTCCTCTGATACCATGAGAGCTTGTCTTCAGGGAGGAAGTTTCCTGGTCAGCTCCCATTCCATTGCTCCAAGTCCTGTGTCTGAAGTGTGGTCTGCCTTCAGCAATAGGGTCTTACCTTCAAGTTCTGGGTGGTAATCAAGGGGGCTGTGGCAATAACCTGTGTTATTTTAGGAGTCTCTTGGACTACCCTGACCAACAACTCAAAGGAAGTTTTATCCTGCCCAGCACTGAGGTTTTTGTTATATAACCTTTAGCTATACACATGTACTTGCATATTTATTATATGTATCTATTTCAGGAGGACTTTGAACCAATCCATTTCCCTCTGACTTTTCATACCATCTAAGCATTATCTTTCTTCTCACCTCCCTATATAACCCTCCTCACTCATTCCCGTCTCCCCCAGCTCTTCTTAGTGTCTGGTCCTGTTCCAATCTTGCTGAAAAAAACCAAAGGACATCCTTTTAACATACACATCCATTATTTTCAGCTGAGTTTTAGGGCCTTATTTATTTCAAAAGGATTAGCTCTTGCTCCATCTTAAAGTCTGCCTGATTCTTCTCCCAAGCTCTCTACTCCATCCAACAAATGCTTATTGAAAGTTCACTATGTATTAGGCCCCACATAGGGACACCTAGAAGTGTGATGAAGTGGTTGTTCTCATGGAGATAAGAGACTATAGGGAAAGATGGCTCAAATCAGTATGGCCAAAAGTATGGGGTTTGTGTTATTTAGCACTTTAGTGTTTTCAACACACATACTCTTGTTTTTCAAAACACACCTCTGAAGAAAAAGAGATCGTCTTACTACACTTTGTAGAAAAGGAAGTCCAAGCAGGAAAGGCCCAGGCAGGATTAGGAGAACCCGTGTCCTCTCATAAATTCAGCCCCTCACTTCTTTCCTGGGTTTCTATAGATGTTCAGATTTCCCACAGGTCATAATGACCACTTCCTGAACACTTTCTTTCCCTTGCTTCTTTTTGTTTTCTAATAATTTCTGTTACAGAATATTAAAAGGAAGAGAACATGGAAGAGAGCATTGAATTGTTTCTGCCAAACATGTCACCAGCCCAGCATTGTTCAATTAAGTTCCACCAGACTTAAGCCACAGGGTTACTGTGCCATGTCAATGCGGAAAGGGATGAGATGGCCAGAGAGGGAGTCGCTCTTTCTCTGCTTCTGAGAAGGAAATACACAGGCATCTTGACACAGAAATTTCCTGTGCTTATTTGAGGTTTCCTGTTCCTCTTGAGTCCCCCATATACATACACTGGACAGAAAATGGCCTTCAGAGAAATGAAGGATTAGTTTGAAACTCTAGTCTGCATTTCCTAACCTTTAGGAAGTGGCTTATCTTTTGCTACGTTCTTTTTTTTCTTTGATAAAATGGGATTCATATTACTTCTAATAGGTTTATTATCATGTTGTAATAAGAACTGTCAAGTACCTTGTTTATGCCCTTTCAAAAGTAGGTGATGAAGGAATTGCTAACAAATTTAAACGTGTTAGAAGCAACTGTATACACACACACACACACACACACACAAATGCAATACAATCCAGCACAAAAAGATGCTTTATGACTAAAATCAAACATCTGTTACAAAATATATCAATGGATATAGTTCATCTAAAGAAAATGATAGTAGGATTGAATTATAAAGTACTACCTAAAATTTAACTTCATGTTACATTCAAAAGACAAAAGAAGACTAAAGACATAGCTTAGTGGTACAGCACTTGCTTCAAAAAACATGGGCAACACTGTGCTGGGAGCAAAAGGAAAGCCGTAGTGTTCACAACCCCAATGCAGGAACACTGAAACCAGGGCGACAATGTTCCTGACTTGAAGGTAGAAGAAAGGCATCTACAATGATAAAAAATATGTTTCACAAGATCGCCTTATGACAATATTTAGTAGCTAATGACAGATTTTATTCTCACAAAGCAAAATCTGTAAGAAATACAAGGAGAAGTGGGAAATGTTTAAATAAGAGGTATTAATTCCCTTCCCTTGCCTGGTTCTTGCCAGAATTACTGGGGGACAGTGACTAAGCTGTGGAAGATGATAACCATACAGGTGAGTTTAGTAGTATGTATAGGCAGAGACTCTTGTTTACGAGTGATGATGGACCATTCATAAATTAGATAGCTATAAAATCTTTAATAAATTCAAATCAACCATAATCTTATCTAGTCAAGGTGAAATCCATAATCCATTGTGTGTGTGTGTGCGTGTGTGTGTGTGCATCTGTGTTCATGTGCACATGTGTGTAGAAGCCAGCAGACAATCTTGGATGTCATTCCTCAGGAGTATCCATGTTGGGAAACCTTAATTTTTAAAAAATCTAATTAAGATGGAATAGGAAACTTGAAAATAGGTGGACTGAAATTTGGCTCTTTGGAAATAAAAAAAAAGTCTCTTATGTAAAATTCTAAGTCAGATCAGAAATAAAGACTAAAGCCTGTGCATGTCACACATAAAGTATTTGCAGATAATACAATGCATTAAGAGTCAGTTGTATAGTTTGTGTAGGTGTGCAGTTGTGCATGTTCACACACATAAGCAGTCCTTGCTCCTTCGACTTCTTCTGAGAAGACCCAGATATCCTTCAGTAACACCCTTTAGAAATATCCATGTTTCATGTGAAGAGGATAAGACTCATTTCTCCTTTATATAAGGAATCTGAATGATGGTTTAAATAAAGGCACAACATTGAGATCATCAACAGAAGAAATTATTTAAACTCATTAAGCATTTTCAAAGTTACACTTATCTAACAGGTGGGAAGTGACATGCTGGGATGATGATGCATTTCACACAGCTCTATCTGGACTCCCTGAGTACTTGACCATCCATCGTATTCTCCTCTTGCTTGTTTAGGGGAACTGGTCTACCCTACCAAGAACCACAGACCACAGAGTACAACCCCCTTAAAACAACAAGCCAAGGGGCTAGTGAGATGGCCCAGTGGTTAACAGCACCAGCCTCTTCTGCAGAGGTCCCAGGCTCAGTTCCCAGCATCCACATGGCAGCTAACAACCATCTGAAACTCCAGTTTCAGGAGATCTGATGCCCTCTTCTGACCTCTATGGTCATTGCATGACACAGACACAGGTGCACTTACCTACATGCAGGCAATGCATCCATATACATAAAATAAAACTAATAAATAAAATATTAAAACAAATAAACAACAAACAAAAACAAGCCAAGAAAATGAATATGGAGTGAGCAAGGATCTTTTAGCTTGAAACATGCTCTTCATGATGATGAACTTCTTCCTGACTTGATGTTTGCTTTTCACAGACTCCTCTATCCACTCTTGGCATAGCCCTGAAATTCTACAACTATTCAATAACTAAGAAAAGTATGAAAGGCTGTGAGCATGGATGGTGGGAAATCAACGAACACATGTAAGTTGTTTTTATATATGAGGAATCCAAAGAAAGACTTGCAGCCTTAAGTCCTCTGAGAGATTGCAGTTTTCAAAGAGAGGGGAAACAAGGGATAGAGGGATTTAGAAATACACACTGGTCAGGCAGCAACTGATAGAGCAGGATTCAAAACCATATCTTGTAGCTTCTGCATCACATCTGCTCTAGGTTGCTGGGCTGTCCATGAATATATTCTACATTGCACAAAAGTATTTGGAAATGAAGTGTTTGAACCCTGGAGCTATTGGGAAAATTGGCAACAAAGGTATGCTCTAGAGGGACAAAAATAAGAGACTATTAGCCAGTAGGAGAGTCCTGACTGACCTGGCTGGATCCTAGGACTGGAAAATAGGTTTAGGCTGATCAGAAAGAATATTAGAGAGATAAAGGTGCCTGGGCTTCCTCAATCAACCATGTAGGTCCTGTCTCTCTGGCTCTTAATTTGTTGCTTAGATATTATTGTTGATTTGTTCCTAAAACTATAATCAGTATTCAAAAAACACTGGATGCTCTGTCTTAGCAGGAGACTAACTTCTCAATTCACTTTCAAAGAAGTGACACGAAAGGATTTCTTTGATAATTTTTGTTCATATTATTTTATGAATGAAACCTTCCCTTTCAAAGAGCTCTTTCCTTCCTTCCCTTCCTTCCTTCCTTCCTTCCTTCCTTCCTTCCTTCCTTCCTTCCTTCCTTCCTTTCCTTCCTTCTTTCATGAGTTTGTGTGTGTGTGTGTGTGTGTGTGTGTGTGTGTGAGCACATGTGTACATGAGTGCATGTGCCCATGTGTATGCATGTGGAGGCCAGGGGTTAATATCAGTTGTCTTCCTCTACCACTTTATAATTTTTTGAGACAGCGTCTCCCACTGAATGTTGAATTCACCATTTTTCAGCTAGGTTGACTGTATAACAAGCCTCAGTGATCCTCCTGTTTCCACACGCCCAGTGCTGGTATAACAGGTGCACACTGCAACAATATTCTTTTTTGTCTTTTTGAGACAGGGTCTCCCTGTAGCCCCACCTGGCCTGGAACTCACCTTGTAGACCAGGATAGCCTTAAACTCACAAAGATCCACCTGCCTCTGCCTCCCAAGCACTGGGATTAAAGGCAGTACCACCATGCCCAGCTAAGAGGCTTTTTATGTAGGTACTGGGAATACAAACCCAGGTCTTCATGCTTGCACCACTGAGCCATCTCCCAAGCCATTTAAGAGGTTTCTGTGCACAAACAATCTTTTGGTTTCTTCAGAGAGACTACTTAAAAATAGTCATTGGTCTTATTTTGACTGGAAGAGATCCATCAGATGTGAAGGCATTCTTGGGTCTATTATTAAAGCGTATCCTGTACTCCTTTGGAAAATATAGTTTGAATCAACCAAGAGACCTGGGTTCAAAGTCAAATCTTGCCTATCATTTAGTAGCTGTATTAACTAGGAAAAATATTTAACCTCCTTGATTTTTCAGGGTGTAACAAAGTATTTTTTTCACTTTTATTTTTGTTAGCATTCAATGAAATGATGCAAACTGTATGCCAAAAAGATTATGTATTAATGTAAATAACAAGACTGCTTTGGAAATGACATCGGATGGATAAATACTTGGAATGTGCCCCAAAGCTTTAAAAACACTGCATTTTGGTTTGTTATGAAAGTAGAGATCCAGAGCACAAACCATTATACAACTTTTGTGCAACCGTGAGCTTGAGAACTGTGGTTTGGAAAGGAGATACAGGTTTTTCCATAAGTAACAATGATGATCCAGAATATTTTGCTTCAACTAGAAGTGTCTTTTCCCAACCAATACCAGGAAAGCTCTCTGCCCCAAATACTTTTCCTGAAGCCACAGTTCTTCCTACAGTGTTATAGGTCAGCTAAAATCTTGTCATATTCATTTAATGCTTGGAACTTAAATCTCCAGCCTGTTCATTATCAGTCCTTCCCATCTAGAGAGAAATGCTCTAATAGATATAATCAAGCACTTTGTTTGAGAAATGGGCCTAAGGGAACCGGCTGCAATGCCGAAGCAGAAAGAACTAATGACTAAGAGGAAGCCTAAGGTTCTCCCTGAAACATTAATAGAACATGGTGTACATGTATATATGTACTCAAGGTAGCTAGAATGCACTGTTAGAATCCTGGTGTAATAATGATCTTTGTACAACTCCAGCAAAGGAAGTCTTTGGAGTATTAGAAAGTGTTAGAGTCTAGGTATCAGGCCAAATTGTATACAAATTCTAGCTCTCTTTATTTGCTGTCTGAAACTTAACAAATTTCTTCCCTTCTTTATGTCTCTCTTTATTTGTCATGTGTCTGTATACATAACATAAACTGACTTTTGCTGGTTTCTTTAATCTCTCAATGTTTACACTTTCATAGACCACCATCATGCCCTAGAGGACACATCTGACTTTAAACTCCAGCCCATACATGGGTACAAAGGTTTCTTTCTTCTTGATCCCCTTAGCATATGTGTTAGTTATGTTTCTTGTTGCTGTGACAAAATATATGATGGGAGGAACTTCAGAAAAGAAAGATTTGTCTTGACCTGAGGTTTCAGGGAACTTTAATTTGTGATGGCAAAGAAGGCATGGTGTCAGGAACAGCTTGGTCTGCTTCAGCAGGAGATAGCCAATCACATTGTGGCTGTCCACCAGGAAACAGAAGATGAGGCAGGAAACAGCCAGGGTTAATGTACCCCTTATCATCCCAGGACCTACTTCCTCTAGCTAGGATCTAAGGTTCCCACAACCTTTCATGACAACGCCAACAACTGAGAATCAAGTATGCAACACATGAACCCGTGGGAGACCCTTCACATCCAAACTGTAACAATATGCCTGAGAGGGGCTCATTTTTCTGTGTAACAAAACTCCAGATGCCAATAATACAGAGGGAAAAAAACTCACTGTGGGACACAGATAACACAGTGATCATGTTTTCAGAGCACACAGTTATGATCTCAACACAACTGACTAAAGTAGACCTTGCCCCAAAAGCTTGATCTGGCTTTCAGGTGCCTTTCGGATCCTGGTTCTAACTTGATCCAGTGGTTACTCACAGCACCCATCTCTTCCTTGTGCCCCAGGAGCTGGCTACGGCCCATAAGCCCCTGAACTTCACCCAGTTACGGAAGATTGTTCTTGAATTACATGTGCATGACTTTTTCCTTTGAGCTTTAAAAATCATAGATTGTCTGTGCCCCGATCAGTTTTGAGTCCACAGAACTATGTGGTTCCCAAATGTTTTGGGGGCTTAGAGAGCTTGGCATTCATAGGTATCAGGGGAGGATGTGATCCCAAGTCTTATATCTGCCATTTCCCATAGTACTTGGCAGGTAGCACACTGAAAAGCCTCGTCCACACAGGGCAGTAAACTAACTTATTTAATACCCCATACTCCATTAACCACAGTGCTCATGTAGTAAGAATGATTAACCAGAGTGACATTTACTAAAAAGGATACTGGGAACCCTGCTGACTTTACATGATGAGAGGTAAGGGAAAAGTCAAAGTAAGGAATATTGAAGATACACAAATACTTTGAAAATTTTCCAAGGCCAATCCCTGCAGTGCACACCAGATTTCAATTTAGACTGAATTAATATTGTCTTTTGCTTCAAGTGTTGATGGAATGCTTTGCATATTTTCAATCTGAGTTCAAGGATTCCACTCTGCTCCATAGAGAGCTTTGTGTATAAAAGCAGGCCATTCTTGTTACACATATTTTCTCAATGAAAGATGAAAACTAGAAGAATTATATATGTAGTTCCTCTGATGTATAGTGTTGGTAAGGAAAGCAGCAGGTTGATAGCACTATGCTTGTTCTATTTAGCAGACGAGACAGTTCAGGGGCAGAGTTCAGACCACAGTCTCATGGTATGAAGAAGTAGCTTCTATAGCTCTACCATAAGCATCTTCGCTTGTGGAGCCTGAATGACCAACACAGTGACATCCCTGGTGAAGGGATGCTGTTATCGATGGAACCTTAAATCATGTGTCTCCCCTGACTTGTCTTCTCAGGTACTGTGGCTCCTATATGGATCACCAGACTATTTTCAGAGTGCCCAGCTCTCTGGTTCACATTCAGCTCCAATGTAGTTCCAGGCTTTCGGACAAGCCACTTTTGGTAGAGTATGGCAGTTATAACATCAGTCAACGTAAGTCTGCGGTTAGCTCTTTAGAAAATGTAGTGAGTCCTTAGCTATACAAGGAGGTGAAGAATCTTCTTTACTCCTGATCTTTAGAATTCATAGAATGAATACCGCTTCATTTTTGTTATTTACTATTACATAGTTATCTTTTAAACAAGTAAGTATATCATGTTTATACTTTTTTAAAAAAGTAAGTATACTGCACAAAATAATGAGTGATATATAAAATTATGTATTATTACCAAATTTTCAATTATAGAAGAAATAACTTGTTGATAGTACTGATTTACAGGCACAATACAATTTCTCATATGACTTCTAAAATATAGGAAAAGTTCATATTTTTGGTCTTTCTTTCCTCCACCCCTCCCTTTCTTTCTTTCTTTCTTTCTTTCTTTCTTTCTTTCTTTCTTTCTTTCTTTCTCTCTCTCTCTTTCTCTCTCTCTCTCTTTCTCTCCACTTCTTTCTTTCTGTTTTTTTTTCCCATGGAGATAAGCTTTTGTTAGCCCTGACTGGTCCAGAACTCTCCTTGTAGATCAGGCTGGTCTTGAACTTGTGGAAATCCTCTTGCCTCATTCTCCCAAGTGTTGGGATTAATGTCCCCATACCTAGCTTGATGTTTTTTATGCTAGCTGTAATTCTTTATAAACATGATATTTATACCGACACACAGTGGATCTGTGGCTGACAGCTTGCAATCTCTTTGGACAGTAATGACCAAGGAGAGTGGGTTGGTTGAGAGGGTTCAAACATCAGCCCTCAGAATGTTGAAGTTTTCATTGGAAGCCACAGGAACACACCAGGAAGTGGTTCCTAGAAAAAGTGATGTTTGAGAGAAGTCATTGGAGCTGCAGGGTATAGATAAAGACTTATAGACATTTTAGACCCTGTGAAAGGAGACAAGAAAAAATGACTCATGAGACTATGATTTGAGAGAAAGCTCCTTCAGACCATGTTCTTCTCTGTCGACTTGCATCACACCTGTTTCTGGGTTCACAGTGTTGTGCTCTGAATAGCAGGATGTTTGAATATTCACTTGGGACACAGGAATAGCTCACCATCTTATTCCTAATTGTTTCACAAACCATGGTGATGTTCCCCAGACCTTCTACTCTACCGTGTGCAGCTGAGGCAGTAGCTGGCCTGACCATGTGTCCTCCATTCTTTCACAGAAGGGGAGAATGGATTTATTATTCTTGTAATCCATCCATAAGCACAGGCTCAGTGGTTGGATTTTTTAACAAGTAGTCTTTTTGAATTGGAAAAATGATGAATAATGAGAAAAGAGACAGGAGTCCTGGGCTCTGAGGCCAAACATTGATTTCTCTAAGTGCAGCTTCTGTAGAATTAGTTTGATTTTTTTCTTTGCTCATTGAATTCTTCATTTAAGAAATTAACCATAGCCTTTGCATGGAGAAGTTGTATTATCACTTCCAATTCCTCACCAAATCTGTAACCAGTGAACACTTCGTAATTCTTTGCTAAGGTAGTTTGATGACTTTTAGGGATCCACCCAAGATTCTCTGTTTTTTATTGCCTGTAGCCTGTCCTGTTGGATCTTTTAGATGCTCCTCCTGTTCATGTGTCCCTCAGGCCCAGCGCTGTGATGGAGTAAATGACTGTTTGGATGACAGTGATGAGCTGTTCTGTGGTAGGTATTCAAGCTTTGACTACGGCTTCATCAAGTGACTCCTCAGAGGAGTTGCTGCTGTTGCTGGGTAGCTGCAGCTGTGGTGGTAGCTATCACTAGGGTAGGGCACTTTACTCTGATCTTAAGGAGCGAAGGCCTGTGGCTAATGAAATCCATTGGCTAACTAACCCACCACAATCCTATGTGAAGCATGGACCATTCATCTGGAGAGGAGCTCAGAATCTGCAAGGAGTCACCTCAATGTGCTTGTTTATGGAGCACAGGTGTACGGAGGGAAATCAATAGCTCTCTTTAGTTTTATTATTTTTTTCTATGTTTTTATTTAATTTTTGTACATTTCATAGATATATCTTACTAATAGTTAGATTCCCTCCCCTATCTGCACTTATTTTTTTTTCAACAGTTTACACTGACATCATTGGTAATGACTAAGGAACAGAATACTGGATAGTCCTATTTTGGACGGAGAATTGTGTTTTGATTTTTCACTGTTATTTGAGATCTATTCCTGATTCTATGTTGAGCTTCAGGGATGACTATTAGGAAGAATTTACTGTAATGTCACTGACAACATTTTCTTCAGTGTTAAATTCAAACACAGTTGTAGCAGTGATGGCATTCTAATCTCATGGCTTGGGAGAAGAACTGCATTTAATATGCTGCAACTACATACAATTAGATTCCTGAAAAACAGCAGATGATTATAACTGTGTGTGTGTGTGTGTGTGTGTGTGTGTGTGTGTGTGTGTGTGTGAGTAGAACTGGGTATCACAGAGGGATCAAACCTGGTGCCTTGCTAAGCAAGTGCTCTACCACTAAGCTATAGCCTTAGCTCCTCTGTACAGTTTCTAATTGGCAAAACAAAATAAAATCTTTTTAATTTATGGCTCATTGGCAATCAAGATCTACAAATTCTTCTTTTTCTTAAGAAAATATATACTGGAACTGGAGAGATGGCTCAGTGGTTAAAGAGCACTGGCTGCTCTTGCAAAGGACCCAGGTTCTGTTCCCAGCACACACATGGCAGCTAAAAACTATCCTTAGCTCCAGTTCCAGGGGATTCGATGCACTCTTCTGGCCTCTGGGGACATTACATGCACACATATCTATGGCGTACTTACATTCATGCAAGCCAAACACTCATACACATGAATAAAAAATTAAAAATATGTGCTGACAATTTCCTAGTGAAGGCTTTTGTTTTTATTACTATTCTTTGCCTTGATGCTCTGAACAAAGTTATCATCACTCTGTAATGAGGATTAATTTTTCGGTGTCCTTATGTTCCACTGTGTCACTTTTGAAGCTCTCCTCTGCATTTCAGCTAGGCACACTTGGAGACTGAATCAGCTAATTCAGGCCAGCAGTGTCCTCCTCTCACCTCCTGGGGGCACTAAGACAAGAACATTCTGGTAGTAATAGATGGTAAAACCGGTAACATCTCAGACCGGAAATGACTAAGAAACCATGTCTTCTAAAGGGGCTGGCTAATACACTGTGCCTTCCATGGGTCTAAAGGTAATTTAAGAAGTATCCCAAAGGGAGGGACCACTGTTGTTTCTAAATTTAGGACCTAAGTCTCTCAGAATAAGACAATTTTAAAGTGGTTTCCTTAGAAGTAGACAAGTCTGCTGTCCTTTAAGATCTCACCTTCATTAAGTCATTCACCAAACTTAAAGAAAATTTTGATTCGAGAATTTCATACTATTCATTTTGATCACATTCAGACACTCCCCCTTCTCTCCAGCCCAACCTTACTACCCCCTCCCCAACTTCATGTCCTCTACTATGGTTTGTATTTTCTTTTAAAGGCCTGTCACGTCTAATCTGTGTTCCCCAAATGCTGAGGTGTGGGTAGATCCTTTGGAGTCTGGTCAACCTCTCAGGCATCATACCAGTAAAGAAAACTGATTTTCCATGTTCCAGAAGCTATCAATTGCCAATAGATCCTCAGGAAAAGCTCAGGCTCCTTGCTTACCTCCCCCATCCATGCTGGCTTTTTGTCTGGCTTGGATTGGCACATGCTCATTCACCAAACGTTTTGTGAGCACCTACTATTTTGTCAAGGACCTGAGGTAAAATATGAATGAGACAAAATCTTTCATTTCAGCACAATGCTACATCTTCAGGCATGTAGACGAGTTCAACTTAGATAACAGCTGGTAATGATTTTCTATGATAAGATGACTGTAGTTAAGCAAACCACACGATTTAAAAACAGCAAAAGTGAGATCTGAGAATCCTAGTGTAAGAAATTATACCAAAATTTAAACATCTTATTTTCCTCACAGACATGTCCATTGAATGGAAAATACATTCTATTGTACTTGCCATATTAAAGGTTCACACTGTTAGAGGGGCACTGCTAATCACTGGAGAGCACTGCTGGTCATCGGAGAGCACAGCTGATATCCTGTGCTTATGACCTTACTGTCTCTCATCACAGTGACCACCAAACCTGCCTGCAACACCAGCTCCTTCCGGCAGCTTGGCCCTCTGGTCTGTGATGGCTTCCAGGACTGCGAAGACGGCCAGGATGAGCAGAACTGCACTTGGAGTGAGGGGGGCGCACAGGCCTCTTCACGTGGAACCTTAATCAGAACCAAGAACCTTTGCTGGGTGTAGCAAGATCTTCTTGCCCCAATTCCCCCAGACCTTTCCCAGTTTTAGCACTGGTATCTCTTGTCCTGAGAATCTCCCGCGCCCTAGAAAAACTGGGATACTTACTCATGCTAAGTGGGGTGGATTTGTGAGTGTTCCTGTGTAGATACTGGCAGATTTTTGAGTTTTTCCTTGTTTTTCATGCTACTCAGCTGTAGGTTGGACAGTGAGGGTCTATCACAGAGAAACTTTCTAGATACTCTGAAAAGACACTTGTAACTATTGCAAAAATGTGAATACCCTAGGTGGTGAACAAATGCATTGTATTTCACAGCACCTACTCATTTTCCTTTCCCTTAATGGTCTAAAAGGCCTGAGTGTGGGGTGTTTTTGCTGAAACATTTTCTTGGAGATCAGACGGGCAGTAGCAAAGAGGCCTTGATCTAAGGCCATGGACAAAGCCACCCCTTTTGCATTTTGCCCACCATGGAAGTACAGCGAGTCAGCTGGACTGATTCTCAACTTGCCTGCTGCTGAGGTGAAGGAAAGGGTCCCTGTGGGGTGGCCCTACTTCTCTTTGCCAGAGCAGAAAATAGTGATACTGTGACTAACCCACCTTTTGTAGAGTTCAGTGTCAGTCCCTCAAATCTGTTTCTGGCTAGAAAACACTGTTCCTTCTTTTGTTCATTTCTAGGCATTCCATGCACCAACAGGACCTTCAAATGTGGCAATGACATTTGCTTCAGGAAACAAAATGCACAGTGTGATGGGATAGTGGATTGTGCAGACGGAAGTGATGAAGAGGGCTGCAGTGAGTAGCAATTTGTCCTTTGCATTTCTGTCTTCCCTTTTCTTTTACCCACTGTCAATTTTCATTCCATTCTGGGTATAAATCTACTCACAGAGGTTGCCATGGACCCAGGAAATAATAGTACAATTTGGTGAACTGAATCTGACATTTTTTCAACAAATAAAAACTCTTAAGTTTCATTCCATCTTCTCTCGTGATGATAGGTGTTGCTGTACTAAAGGTTTACCAGAACTTTCTTTTCTTGTACTAATCAAGGAAGAAATCACCAGTAAGAAAAGAAACTGTGGAGGCTAGTGGATAACTTTAGTTATGCCTAGGATAAAAGCAACATTGAGGGCTGATTCCCAGCTGAAGTTTAATAACTGTCATCTGCCAAATGTTCTGTTCAGTCATGTGGCCTCTGATTAGCACAAGACAGCAAGTTCATTTTATATCCTTATTGATGCCATTTACACAGGAAAGTAATTGCTCTGAAAACTAGGACTTTTACTAGATGTTCATTTGTCTCAGACTTCCAAATTCTCTCTCAAACGCTTTCTTTCACATCAGCACAACTCAAAAGCATTCTTGGTTCTGTTGCAGTTGGAGCTTATGTTACTTTTCTACCTGGCAGCCTAACTCCACCAACTGCTGCTTATGTCAGTTCAGTGTAGGTCCTTCCTCCCTCGCATGCATTATTGTGTATAGATTCCAAGTCAGAGCATGTTCTCAGCAAGGAAGGAGTACTGTGTTCGTGCTAGTTTCCGACAGACCAATAGATTCCTCCCCTATTAGATAAGCAGGAGATTTCAGTGTTTTCTTGGTGAGTCAGTCCCAGCCCAGCCATAAACCTGATCAAGTTTCCAGTTGCTATTTTTTTTTCAGTTTCTACCTTCAAGTCTCGTGACTCTTCCTCTCCTAAAGGTTGCAGCTGGACGTCCTCCTCCCTTCACCGCATCATTGGCGGCTCTGACTCCCAAGAGGGGGCCTGGCCTTGGCAGGTCAGCCTTCACTTTGTAGGATCTGCCTACTGTGGAGCCTCAGTCATCTCCAGGGAGTGGCTTCTCTCTGCGGCCCACTGTTTCCATGGAAACAGGTAGGGCATCCCAATCCTTACTCTCAAGTGACACCTACTAACTACAGACCATACATCTGACCCCCCAGTTTTGGTAGAAGCTCCCTGTTGGGAATAAGCCATTCAGTTTGGGTTTCTTGCTTGCTCATTTGTGTGTTTTGGTGTGGAGAACCAGTTGTATGCCATTTTTCTTTTAAGGTATTATTTAGAAAAAGATAAAAGAGCACAAAGGAATCATCAAAGCTGAGGACATAAACACTGGCTTTCAGATCATAGGGGCAAAGCCAAGGCAGAGTGTGGAATGTGGAGCGAGGCAGCCGTGGAGCATGGCTGGGGTGGAGGGATCCTTTTTGGGTGAGGAGGGGATTCCAGGAAGGCCATTAGGACTGGCATCAGAAGGACTCTGTCTGCCTTTGCCAATGGGGTTACTATGGGACAGATGATCTATCTTCTAAGATCTGTTGGCTCTTAGATACAAAAATAAGATCACTTCTCAGTCAAAAATTTTAAGTGGGACATTCCAATGAAATTATGCAATTTGAGTATTTGCTTTTCTTGGAACTTATAGGATTCATGTCAGTCACCAAAATAGCTTCACCAATAAGTAAAGAGATGCCCCAAATATTTTGACCTTCACGTTCTTTGAGCCTCTGGTACCACTCATGAGTTGTCAGCTCAGCAGATTAGTATACACATTCTTTGGACTGTGTCCTCAACTTTCTTCCAAGGCTTCCATGTTCTCTTTACTCCCAACCTTATCCCTCGCTGCTATGGTGGTACTGGTGGAGACTAAAGCCCCTCTCTGGTGATGTGGGGCAAGGTCAGAGGTGGGGTTAGAATTCTGGAAAGACTGATAGTGGGGTGGAGTTTGGTGTCCCTGTGAGTGATCATAATTGAGGAAACACTGCTGTGATCCATATGATTATGGTGGCTCACAGGAGTTTCATTAAATCCCTGCTTCAAGTGTTTCAATTTCTATTATTCTATTTCATATTATTGGATTTAGTAGAAGGATCCCCAAATAATACCTTACTGTCCTTGTGTGTCTATAATGTCAGCATGGGATAGCAAGAGGTTAATTCTAGTCATCAATATTCTTGACCTGAGTAGAGTTCATGAAATGCCAGAAGACAAGAAACGTTTGAGATATTTCCTAAAAATGTTGTTGAAAGAATTTTCTGAAACATAGATGTAACTAACCACAACTATAACAGCTTACTTCATTGCTGTGGTTAGCAAGGAACCAAAGGATGTTCGCTTAGAGAAGTTACTACGTCCATGAATAGAGCTGGGGCTAAGATAGGGTCTTCCTTTCTTATCCTCATGACTGTAGAGTGCTTGTTTCCAAACTACATGTGGCTTTTTAATCCACTGACTTTGTCATTCATTCCTTTTCTATCAGGCTGTCAGACCCTACTCCATGGACTGCTCACCTTGGGATGTCTGTGCAGGGGAATGCCAAGTTTGTCTCCCCAGTAAGAAGAATTGTGGTCCACGAGTACTATAACAGCCAGACCTTTGACTATGATATTGCTTTGCTACAGCTCAGTGTAGCCTGGCCTGAGACCATGAAACAGCTCATTCAGCCAATATGTATTCCCCCAGCTGGCCAGAAAGTACACAGTTGGGAGAAGTGCTGGGTGACTGGCTGGGGGCGAAGGCATGAAACAGGTGTGTATATGAATGAATGGTTGTGCCTCTGCCCTGCAAAGGATCAGCTATGCTGATCTAGTGTTTTGTTATTTCCAAGAAGATATGTTTATACCATCTTTGAGCCTCCTGGTATAGAGGGTATTATTATCTTTGTTTTTCCGTCTTTATACCTGCTTTAAAATAAGCAGGACTCAAATGGTAGAGAGAGGAATTATATGAGCAAGACAAGACTGACCAATTGAGGCTCTTTTCAAACTTGGAAGGGGTACTAGGTAGCTCACTATAGAAGAACAATTCTTCATTTTTAGGTTTCCTTTTAATGAAAAGAAACAAATAATTTCTGTAAAGAACACAGTACACGTGTGCATACCCTATTCTGTCAACTCAGACAACTGTCTGGAAGATTATGCAAGTGTCTCACACTAGGGCTGTTGAGCACGGAGTGAGAGTGAGGGGGAAACCAACCAGGACCCAGGTCTCCTGACTACAAATTCAGGCCCAGGTACTACACCAACCTAGAACTTCTCCCCACAGTGGTGATGACTTTTTGCAATTTCTCTACCTTTCCAAAATGAATCTTTTTAAGTACATAAAGATCAGGCTGTATGTTCTGGAGCCTCTCCATCTAGCCTGCCAAGTTTTTCCCTGGTCCAGAATTTAAACTAAATTTGAATATACACTGAGAATAAGAATCTGAAGCTTCATGAATTAGTACCCATTGCCTCTGTCCTCTCAGATACCTTTTCAGTCCTTTCTAAGGGGCTCAGACAGACACAGCATCTATACTTTTTAACTCTTCCCTGCAGTTTTGCTTTGATACTCTAAAGAATCACTGTGGCAGCTTCTTAGATGCTGACTGCCCTCATTCACTTATAAAGTAATGATATTTACTGTCACTGTCATGTAGAGTTTGTTGAGGTCTGAGAGCCCCAAGGATGGCAGGCAGCTAATTGAATACTTCTAACTCTGAAAGGTTTCTGTGTTTGGTGATTTAATGGTCTTATCATCTATCATTGGAGAAAAAGATTACCCAACTAACTTAGGAGACCTTCCTTTTTTTTTTTTTTTTTTTTTTTTTTTTTTTTTTGGTCTTTTTGAGTCAGGGTCTTTCTGCAGCCCCGGCTAGCCTGGAATGCATTATATAGACCAGTCTGAACTTGAACCCACAGAGATCCTCCTGCCTCTGCCTCCCAAGTGCTGGGACTAAAGGGATGCCACCATGCCTGGCTTAGGAGACTTTTTATAAGCATGAACATGTATGCGTATTTTTTGATTCATCATCGCAAGACAAATGAAAAAGGAAATGAAAAAGCTATAGAGAAATAGTTTAGTTTTTTAGTTCCTGGGAGACTCCCATATATCAGTTACAGTCTTCCTTTTAAGGAGTCCTCCTGAACAGTGAAACATTGATACTAACAGTTGGTGACTCATCCACAGAAAACAGAACAGTGCTTTCAATGGCTCAGATGAGAAAGTACAGTAGCACTGTGGCTCAGGTGACAAAGACAGACCTTTGATTGAGTCCTGTTTCTGTCTAGTGGTGTGCCACTGGGCAAGTCTTTAATCCTATAAGGCTTCATTTCTTCAGCAGCAACATGAGGTTAATAGCAGAACTCATCTCAAGGAATGACTGTCAGGATGAAAGAAGATAATCTGAGATGATTGCACTAATGAAACATGGTAATCCTTACAAGCACCATGATTTCTATCCCCAATATGTCTTCCAGATAATAAAGGCTCCCCTGTTTTGCAGCAAGCAGAGGTAGAGCTCATAGATCAAACTGTCTGTGTTTCCACCTATGGGATCATCACTTCGAGGATGCTCTGTGCAGGGGTGATGTCTGGCAATAGAGATGCCTGCAAAGTAAGCCTTCCTCCTGATCTTGCCCAACATTTGTGCTTTCCATAAATGCTTTCACATTGAAAACACACAGTACTAGGGCAGGGCTTTTCCTTACCTCATCTGAATTGATCAGAAATTAATTATGATCCAGTTGCTTATGATCAGAAATTAATTATGATCCAGTTGCCTAAGATCAGGGAAACATGGAGAAAGAGTTCCATAGAATTGACTCTCTGGTCCCCTTGCATTTTCTCTGACTTTTACAGGGTGAGGTCAGCATTCATCCATCTGCCTCCGTTTTCTTGTAATTCAAAGGAAAAAAAACCCAGAAAAACAAAAAAACAACCCATTCACACGTACACACGTGCAGTGTATTTCAGCATTGCTTGGTTTCCTTAGCAGAAGCCACTTAGCTTCAGAAACTATGAGGATTTATTTACCTGTTACTCTGATGCATAGGATGGAGAAAGGGAAGAGGAATGGCAGCTGAGACAGAACACCCTCATGCCCTCACGTAGGCCCGGGGTTGCCTGCAAGTGGTACTGTTGGAGGTTACCTTCTGGGGGATGTTTCTCTGAGCCTAAGATTCCCATCTATACAGATAGCTCCACAACTGACAGAGAATAAACAGTGATTCAAAGGATAAGAAGGTCAGTGAATGTCCTTCCCATATCTTGCCACAACCTTATCCCCAATGCCAGTAACTTATTTTATTATAATAATGGCTTCTGCCTTTTGAGATCTTATTTGATGGCAAGTGCTGTGCAAGGACCTTCATAAGCATTCATTCAGGTCATCATTTTATTCTCATTTCTTCAAAGAGGAAACTGGGCAAAGAGAAGGTAAATAGGTTCCCCAAGGCCGTATAGCCAGTAAATGTGAATGTCTGGGTGGGATTTGAGTCCTTGCCTTTTTAATGCTAACACTACTATGTTTTAGATGCTTGCTGTAACTGGCCAATTACATAGCTCTGTTCCACATAAGCACCAAGGTTTATGCATTAAATTAGACTTATAGGGCTAGTACAGCAACAATGAAGACCTAGTTTCCCTCCTATTCAGAATTTACCTAATTAGGTGTGAATTATTGGACTGAGATACAGGGGCACACTTGGACTGCTTTCTAATGTCTACCTCAAAGCTTTACTTTACCTACACTCTATAAATAGGAAAATAGAACTTAGACATTATACCTAAAGGACTCAGGCTGTGGGAATTATGTTTAAATCTCAAGTTATTGCAGTTTTTGCTTTGTGGAATTGAGATGTCAGAAGAACCTTCACATGAAAATAATTTGCAGGCAATGGCTTGTTAGGGTTGCTTCAATGGACACAGCTGACTAAATGAGTCTTGTCTTCTTTCCCCTTGGGCCCATGAGCCAATTGATGAAACTGAATGACCCACATATATAAGTTAATATTCCAAGATAATAATAAGGTTGCTGTGATGGTTAAATGACCCAAGCATTCCTGGGCACACAGGTAACACTAAATACATATCAGTCCTCACTACCATCACCACTACTACTGTGACTACCAGCAGTAGTTAATTCTTTGGGTATTTGTCAGAAGTATTTTCTCCTGCACAGGGAGTACACAAGTAAAAACATGTCATAATGACACTTTTAAACACAACCTATTGGACACCTCAGTGAGGAACTGGATTATTATGAGACAAATATATTCATGCTTACATTATCTTTTTGTATAGGGAGATTCAGGTGGACCTTTATCTTGTCGAAGGAAGAGTGATGGAAAATGGATTCTGACTGGCATTGTTAGCTGGGGACATGGATGTGGAAGACCAAACTTTCCTGGTGTTTACACAAGGGTGTCAAACTTTGTTCCCTGGATTCATAAATATGTTCCTTCTCTTTTGTAATTGTACCAGCTGGATTTTTAAAACTGTGTCTTATATGATTGATTATTGAAAAACTACATAATAATTATCAATAAAATGAGTCCTTTTTTTCAACTGGAAATGTCAGCTTGGACACATCTGAAATTCACTGCAAGATAGGCAGATTAACATGCATTCCATAAAAATGGCCCACAAGGAAATGGTGATATTCGTTCTAAGGTATAAAAATGGTATTGATTCATAAATGGAAGACACTGTCATGAACCAAGCCCCTAGAATAAAATGAGAACAATATACATAGGTTCCCTTCCAGTATGCTCCAACTCATGTGTAAATTCTTACGTGGACTGAGACATGACACACAAATAAAATGTTCATGGAAACCACACCTGACAAAACCAAATTCCCACAAAACTAATGCACAAAAAATGTCCTTCACAAATGGAAACAAAACAAAACTCAGTTATTCACGTAAGTAGGAGCTATAGTGTTGCTTTCAAATCCAATTTGTTCTATCTACACCAAAATGAACTTTCATCAGCAATAACACCTGGTCATGTTATATACAGAGACTCCAATTCAGTGGCAAACAAAACTGAGAGTTAGCATCCTTTATTAAAGTGGTAGAATGAAACATCATGGGAATTGGACTGAGCACACTTACAGGATTCAAGAGGTCATGCTAAAAGTGGTCAACAGTGAAAAAAAACCAAAGGAACTTAAAAATTATTTTATTTATTGTTTTATTTTCTGTATATGAGTGTATTGCCATGTCATGCAATGTTCAAGGTGGTCAGAAAAGGGTGTTGGATCTGCTTGAACTCAAGTTACAGTTGTTAGCCTCCATGTGGGTGCTAGGAACTGAATCTGGGTCATCTGCAAGAGTAGCCAGTGCTCTGAGCCATCTCTCCAAACCCAGCTAAAGGAAATTTTTTGGTAAGTGTTCTGAAAGTCAAACTTTTCAGATATTTTATTTCCCAGCTCTTCGTTGTTTTGTAAAATCTCAATTGCCACGATCTTATTTTATTTTTGAGGCCTTGTAATGCACAGTATAGCTATAAATGCACAATATTCTTTCAATATAGTTTGTTTCTTGATTTACCTTAGTTTAGAAAGTCTCATACTTCATTTCAAAATAATATTTTCCTTGACAGAGACCAGAGTTAACCATATCACCAAACAGGTAAAAACAAGAGAGAATAAAGAATGTTATTTGTTTTTCCTAGAACAAAGTCAAAGGAGGAATAGTGTTCTAGTTTGCTTCTCTGTTGCTGTAATGAAACACTGACCAAAGGCAACGTGGAAAGGGAAGGATTCGTTTCATCTTACATTTCAAAGCATAGTCCATCTTTGAAAAAAGCCAGGCAGAAACTCAAGACAGGAACCTGGAGGCCGGAACTGAAACAGAGACCACAGAAGAACACTGCTTACTGGCTTATTTCCCCCTGCCTGCTCAGTTACTTTTCTTATACAGCCCAGGTCCACTTGCTCAGGGATGGCACCATCCAGAGTGGGCTGGGCTCTCCTACATCAAATTAGTAATCAAGAATATGTCCTATAAACATGCCCACAGGTCAGTCTGATGGAGAAAATTCCTCAATTGAGGTTCACTCTTCTCAGGTGACTCAAGTTGTGTCAAGGTGACCAAAAATAACAAGCATAAATAACAATACTAGTATTAAATAGTGTTGAGACTAATTCATAGAACTGCAGAGGGTCTTAATGTAACAGTAAAAGGAGAGAGAATGAGAGCTGGTATTTTCCAAAGTGCAGGAAGAACAAGCACTATGACAAGAAAGTTGGAAATGTTAGCGTGGTTAGCAAATTTTGACATCATATATGTTTTAGTTTTTAATATTATTTAAATTTGAAGGGGCCTGGAAAGAGATGACTCAACCTTTAAGAGCACTGGCTGCTCTTGAAGAGAACCTGAGTTCGATTCCTGGCATCCATATGGTGGCTAACAACTGTCCGTGACTCCAGTTTCAGGGGATCCAAAACATTCTTCTGACCTCGAGGGCATTGTATGACGTAGGTGCACTTACACATATGCAGGCAATACACGCATACACTTAAAAATTTTCTGAAGGGTGTGGGGGTGCATGTCTTTAATCCCAGCACTCAGGAGGCCAAGGCAGGCAGATCTCTGTGGGTTCAAGCCCAGCCTGGTCTACATAGCAAGTTCTGGGTCCCCTGGGGCTACAGGGAGACCATGTCTCAAAAAGACCAAAAAAATTTTTTTGACTCAAAGCAATTAATAATAATTGAAAATTATATTTGAGAGAACTACTTGTGAAATAACAATACACTTTTAAAATCTATGCCTATAGAACCAAGTACCAGAGAAATTATGAAAGCAGTTTAGGTTAAGTTTTGTTTTGTATTCACAATGCTACGTTTTTTATCAAGAACTATTTAATCTAACGAAGTTTTACCTCCAGGGAGATGCTTGTAACTTGGTCTCAATCTGTAGTTTGTAACCACATTGATGGGGTGGAAAAAAGTCCTCTGATAAGGGTGAGAACATTCATCTGTATTCTAGGTCAGAGTCTAGAGATCAAGAAACTTGCAGCTACTACAAACAGGATCAGGTTGCAAATAAGAATTTAAGTAGTTCAGGCAATATTGTGAGGTATCAGCAAGTGTCAGTGGTTAGCAAAAATGTGACTGGACAGAAAAAAAAATCAATACCAAAAGAAAAGCATTGAATCAAGAATTACTGCTGGTAGGTATTAGTTGCAAAGATATCAGTTGTGGACAGTAAGGGAACATTTGATGGAACCCTGCTATTTTTAAGCTCAGCAATAAAGGCTTTACCTTGATTATTTCACTTAATCATCCTAACTCCACTGGGTGGGAATCATCTTGCAATGAATAAAGAAGGCTTTAGGCATGGAACATCTTGCAGATGGTGAAAACATGCAGATAGTGAAAAAATTTGACCCTAGTCCTGCTTTCCTTCAGAGCCTGTATACCTCTCCTGGTATCACAGGGACATGAGTTAGGCAGATGGAATTCTAAAATACTCTGGAATCTTGGTTGGAGAATATGTAAATCTTGCTTCTCAGCACTCAAAAAGCCTCAGTATACAAAGTGACCTGAGCGCTAGCTTCCTGATTCTCTGGAGAGAGAAGGAGATCGCATATAACACTGCTTGGAGAAACTAGGCTTGGAGATGAGATAATTAGAATCCAGCTGACTTGAGGGAACCTCCTGTTGAGCAGGCCTTCTGCAGTCAGACAAGGAAACCATGAGACGAGTTATCTGGGTCCTACATAAGGTTGGGATCAGGTGTTTGGGAGTCCTTGGTGCTTCTAGTCGGGTCTGCATCTTGTTAGGACCCTTCTTTCTGTTCATCAACTCCTTTCTCTTTTAAAAAAAAATGTACTATTTTTATTTTATGTGTGTTTTACCTGCATTAATGTAAGTGTGCCACATGCATGAATAGTCCATGAAGGCCAGAAGAGGGTATCAGATCCCCTGGAACTGGAGTTATAGTTGTTAGCCACAATGTGAACCCAGGTCCTCTGTAAAAGCAGCCAGTGCTCTTAACTACTGAGGCATCTCTGTGTCCCTCTCCCCCAGCTCCTTCTCTTAATAAGATTCCAGTTCTTGTTAAGTTTGGGGTGCTAATAGCTTCCTGTCATTTCTAGGCCCTGGGTATCTCCTTCGTTGCAAAGCTGCTTCAAAACCGCTATTGAAAATTCTGACTGCTCAGGGTCTACCCTAGAGCAGAGTGAAGTCTGAGCAAACCAGCATCTTAGTCACTGCAGCAGGCAGATGGAGCCCAAGGAGGCATCAGACCACAGGGACAGAGCACAAAGGCAGGGATTGGAGGAAGCTGTCTGAATACAGGCAGTGAGGGACCAGACCTTTGGACACAGATCAACATCTTGTGAAGTAGAGCTTATTTGTGTGCTTCTGAGGTCCCTAAACTGGTCTTCATATGTGTGTATGGGGGTGGGGGCTTCTGTATGAAGGGAGAAGAGAAGTAGATTGTACAATGGCTCTGAACAGGAGGTTGAGAGGTAAGGTCTTTGGACCGACACACACCTTGCTCTGCAAACATAATTCCAGGTTCACTCAGGGTGTGGAGGGGACTCTGTATGTGTACACATGGGCACATGTGCTTTGTCTTAGGTGGGAGTGCCTGACCCCTCCTCTCAAAGGCAAATAATCATCAGCAACTTTCATGAGGACTTGCTTCCTGCCAGTCATTGCTCTTTTGTCCTGGGAGCTAACACTGTGCTGACTTTCCAAAAGACACTGTGGTACACAGAGAGAAAGCCTGAGGTCTTGAGCTGGGAACCCTCTACGTGGGGACTAACCCAGATAGCCTGCTTCTGGAGTCTGTTATCCTCACTTACTGCCAGGGATACTGCCTCTTTGCCTGAGTCTGGACTTGGAATGGGAAATAGCTGTTGTGTGTTATTCATCTCTGTGTGTTGAGAATCTAGCCGGGTGCCTGGCACACAGGAGATGATTCATAGTTGCTTGTTGATTCTGTCGATGAACTCTAGCCTATGAAGGCTGGAGTAAGTCTCAACACTATGGGGCTCTAGGGTAGAGGGCAAAGCTCTGCAGGACTGCGCATAAACCCAGCCCTTCCTTTCCACAGCCGGCACATAATCAGGCTCTAAGCTGAGCTGGGCTGCGCCAGCACCTATTGGGAAAAGCTTTGCAGGCAGCGCCCTGAACAAACCAGAAAAACAGCCCTCCTCTGCTCGGGAGCCCACGATAGAGCTTGTCCCACCCGATCTACCTTGCCGGATCGAGGTCAGCCTTCCACAGCCAGAGTGCCAGCCACTCACCAGAGTCGCCCCCCTCTCCCGGCCAGCTGCCCGGTCTACCCCCGCGCGCCTTGCCTGCTGGGTGGAGTGTAAGCCCAGGACGCTCCCTGCCCTGGACTCTGCACCCTTAGGTGCGTGACTTCTGCCTCTCGGAGGAGCTGCACGGTCCTCTGCGGTTCCATGGAAGGAGCCGGACCCCCGTCGCCCAGCGAAGAGTTGGAGCTTTCCTTGCTGGACCCGCAGCCGAACGAGCAGACGCCTCTCAGTGGCCTCCAAATCCAGCCTTGCTCGGTCGAGGACCCCAGGCCAGCTCAGGTAAGGAACTAGGGTGGCTCTGGCTGTGGCGCGCCATAGGTGACAGGGACCTGACAGTGTGTCTGGGTGCCAGTGCTCCCTTCCAGCGTCCGCGTCACAGAACAGGGAGACATGCTCTGGAAATAGGAAAGAACACAAGGACAGGGATGCCTTGGGAGAGAACTTCTCTGCAGACCTCCCCACCTCTTTGACCTAGCCCACCCTAGTAACACTTTAAGAATCCTGGAGGTGGGGCGTGATTAACAGCTTCTCTCTATGGAGAGAGAAGCCCCGGAGACAGGGGTGGTTTTAAAAGTTATACAGTTTTTCTATTCAGTTGTTTTCGTTTTCAAGTAGGGAGAAGAGAGTGATGGACTGATTCATATTCATTTTCCCTGACCCCGGGTCCAGCCCACTTCCTCCTACCTCTCTACCCAACCCTACAGCCAGCTCCCCACCCATCACCAGTCCAGGCTCCCCATCCTTCAAACACTTTTCTGTTTTCTTCTACTTGGGTCATTTGATTCTGCAGGAAGAGAGATAGGGAAAGGGGACAAGGTAGAAAAACCAGAAGGGCTGTGGCCAGCGGTGGTAGGGGGTGGGGTCGGGGTGGAGGTAAGGTAGGGGGAATGGTGGACTCTGCCGAGCAATGGAAGGGAAATATCAAAGTTCTTTTCTCAAAGGACTAGCCTAGACTCCTCATCTCTAAGGAAGTCACTGGGAATGTGTAAGTTGAACTTTTTTTTCTGGTTCAACAATAGCTTGACTGAGCATTATTAAGATCAAATGCTTGTAAAACATCAGAGTCAGAATTCTGAGCCATCCATCTTCTGATGAACCTCTAAGACTGGCCTGGGGTTTACTGGGTACACTCACCTCCTCATACACACAGTTTTAGTCTGATTTGTCAAGGCCCCACTCCACCTCCACTGCTTTCACTATCTTTGTTGACTTTAGGAATAAGAAAGAAATTCAAGACTGGAAAACGCGCCTTTTGGTTCACAATGATCCCTAGAAACTGTTCAGTAATGTCTGCTTTTCTAAGTACCTTGGAGAGAAAGTTAGTGCCCTTAGGTTTGGATGAAATAGGACCACAGAAGAAAGAAGTTTGGAAAGTACGGCGGAAAGCCAGTGCAAATGGAGCTTTCAGTATGATCCTCCAGGGCAGGGTCTGGGCATAGGAACTGAAAGTACTTGCCTCACTAATTAGACCCAACAGCCCCCAACCCCGCCCCAAGACTCAGGCATTCTCCAATAAAAGATCTAGGGTAAGGACAGTCGAGGTAGAGAAGATGCCAGATCTGTGCTGGTTATCAGTGTTTTATGATCACTTAGCACCTGCCTTGTGGAGATGACGCTCTCATATTCTGATGACTTCCTTGTTAGTCAGATGTACACAGATACTTCAGACTTCCTTGTAACTTAGCTTTGTAGGTCACCAAGTAGGAAAGCTACGGTGACCAGCGGAGTAGAGACAAAAGCCTCATGAGAACTTGGGGCTTTCTAGAAATACTTGACCATTGACATTTTAATAAGGAGAGAAAGTGGACAAAAACTCAAATCTTCCTACAATGTGTCAATCATCTTCCAGTTCTATAGAATAGAACTTGAAGGGTCAATTAACAGAGTTCATCAAGTGCTGGCTAGCACAAACACAAGATTCAGACACCTAAGAATTTTGCGTGAAGGTCCTTAACTGTATAACAGTTCTGACTTAAGTCCATGTATTTTTAGTACCATATATTTTGTATCTATCATGTGCCAAATACTGTGATACATAAATGCAGTTAATTATCACAACTTATAAGGAGGTGTCCTAATTAGCGCTGTCAACTTGACATATCCTAGAATCACCTGAAAAGAATCATTTTTATCATTTATAAATAAAATAAATATCATGATTTATATTCTTTTACTTATAGCTGCCTAAATTACAAACTATTTGTCACTAATAAATATGTTATATATAAATATTACATTTCTCTAGAAATTAAGTTACTTAAATAATGTAATTTAAGTGACATATGAGGACCAAAACCAGCAGATCTAGCTGATGAGGGAACTGGGCCATTGGGAGGAAAGCATCCCCTCTGGTGTAGGTATCGTCTTATTTGGAAGAGTTGGGCTAGGATATATAAAGAAATTCTCTCCCTTTCTCCATCTGTATTTGGGACATAGAGTAAAAGGAGTAAACCCATTGAACTGTACTTTACCTACTCTCACTGCAAGCATGTTAATACCTTTGGGTCAATGACTCAATAACAGGGGCCCTGACTGAGCAACTCAGAGGCATCTTAAATGATGGGATCATCATTGGGGTAGTAATAAACCAGTACATTACTTGATTGTTTTGTGGTAACCAAAGCTTATTTGTGCTAGATAAAAACTAGCCCCGCTGTCACACATTGTTTAATCTGGGGTAAGAATCAACTGAGTCTTTCGTGTTCAAAGATATGGATTAAAAGCCACCACGAAGATGTAAATGCAGATGTTCCTGTGTTCTGACAGGTTTCCCCCTGGTCCTTATAATATCTGCTTCTGATTGAGCCAAGGAGAAGAAAAGCTTTTTGGTCCCAAGAGATAGGTAGTCCTGCCACTGGGTCTGGATCCAGTATTTGTGTCATATATTCACACATTTACCTGAAGAGGGATATGACTAACTGGGGGAGTTTCAGAGGAAAGCCTCTAAAATCCCACAGCTATCTAATGCAACCATAGAATGTAAGGTGCAGTTTGCAAGTATCTCTCGAATAGTTGTGGAAGGCCTGTCTGAGGCCTCTCAGGACCTACAGTTTGGTTGGACAAGAAAGAAGTCAGAGAAGGAGGCCGTGTTGAGGGAGGCTCAACTTAGTTGGCATACACCTACCATATCACAGGGCATGTTTTCCCCTTTAGGCATGTGGAATTTCCTGGGAGCACTTCTAAAGTATACCTTTTCCTCAGATGATTCTAAGGTGCAGATCATGGAAAAGAAGAAGCGCTGCCCCCTGATGGGCTGTTATATAATGATTTAAGTCTGTGAGGGGGAGTTGTCAGGGATCTCAGGCTAAGACAGGATGAAGGGAGGCAGACCTCAGGAGTGCTGTGGTGGGCTGGACAGGAAGAAGCATGTCCGACAGGTGAGGGCTGGGTGATCTCACCAGAGGTGTTCCAGGAAGTCACAGAGCATTTAGTTTCCTTCTTCAACCACTAGTATTGATTTTATTTAATATTTATTTGCTTATTTATGTGTGTGCGTGTGCCTGCGTGTGTGTGTGTGTGTGTGTGTGTGTTTGTGGGAGTGCACATGCCACAGCACATGTGTGGAGATTAGAGGACAACTCTGAGGAGTTGGTTCTCTCCTTTCCCCTTTTCGTGGGTTCTGTGGATTGAATTTAGGTCATCAGGCTTGGTGGCAAGCACCTTTACCAGCTGAGCCAGCTGGCTTGCCTTTTAAGTCATAATTTTTGATCCCTAATGGATCATATTAGGAATCAGTGTGTGAAGACACACACGACACTGGCTCTCATTTTTGACTCATTAAAGATTCTATTTCTTTCTGTGCTGGTCTTTATAGCTTGGCATCCTTTGCAGAAGTACCTGATACTGTCTGTCTTGGCTCAGAAGCTCTGTGAGTGGGTAGATATGCTTTGTCTTCTGGGAAGTTAAAGATTCTTTACACCAGGACTTCTTTATCCCAATGGCTTCTTGAGCCTTTGGCTTTGGAGATTTGGGTTCAGTTCTGAAGTCTGGGGTGTGGAAGAAGTGATCCTATTCCTGGACTCACTCTAGAGGGTTTTCCTCTGTTTACAATCCCAGGGCCATCAGTGTACCCTCAGCCCACACACTGTGATATGCTGTACCCAAGAACCCAACCCTTAGGAGCCCCCACCATGTGATCCTTGCTCCAGAATTTCTTAGTCTGCATTAGTTACTTTTTCTGTTGCTGTGATAAAATATCATGATAGAAGCAACTTATAGAAGGAAGAGTTTACTGGGCTTACAGTTCCAGAGGGATACGGGTCCCTCATGATGGGGAGGCATGGCAGAAGGCAGCCAGAGCAGAAAGCCGAGTGCTCACGTCTTCAAGCAGGCAGGAGAAGCAGTGAAACTGGAAATGGGACTTGGCCATAAACTCTCAAATCTCCCCATCCCCAGTAACATGCTTCCCATAACTAGGCCATGCCTTCTAAACCTCCACAAACAGCGCCATCAAGTGTGGTCAAGTATTTAAATACTTTAAGCCTATAGGGAACATTTTTCATTCGAAG